TACAGACGAGTAGAATTATCACATTAGCATCTCCCTCTATGCTAATTAATATGTATTACGAATAAAGTAAATGCAAATGAAACATGTGTAATATAAGTGGTAAGAACATAATAATAAGGGTTCTTACATAACCTATAAATTTATTTAGGTGGATAGATCTAACGACTTTTAATTTGACTTTAAACATTCCCTCTTTTAATTAAGCTTCAGTGATCAACAAAAATATTTATCTGGCGTTTTTTATACAAGCTGACTTAGCAACCAACAATCGAATGTTCAATTTATATATATTAGATAAAGTTTACGAGTTTTACACAAGAAAATGTATAAAGACGCACTAGTCATTACTATAATAGAAATTATGTAATATATTTGTACATTTAAATTTTATAAAATATACATTGTATTTTTACATTTAATTATTAAGTATTTGAACTGAATAACTGATTTTTTTTTTTTAGAAAATATTCTCTAGCCTATAAAAACTTGTTTGAATTTTCAAAAAAAAAAACGTATACTTCTACTATATACTGTATAGCAGAGTATAGCTGAGATAATGTCTATTAATAATAAAAGTCATAATCCTCGCCTTGACCAAGGTTATATTTTACAACTTTTTGAAATAATTTATAAGTATTGGCGATGGAATTCCTCAACGTAATAGTGTTATTATCTATCTATTATGAAAAGTGTAAACACGTCGCTAAACTCTGTATAATTCATCATTACTCTTCAAAATCAAATTTATCCGTTCACTATGAAGCTCTGTAAAGTTGTTAAATACATTTACACGAAGGTTTCAGATATAGTTGCCATAATTCAGAGCAACAACGCGCGATTGGCTTTCTATGATAGACGACAGATTTTTTTTGGAAAAAATCATTATTTAAAGAAAATATGTGGATGTAATATTAGTAATAAATCTCACTGTATAAGAAAATATAATTGTATTTCAAGTAATTTCCTAAAATTCTCGGTAATTTTAATCTCTATTGAGACCTGCGAAACATATTTAAAAATGATTTTATATGTTTTGAGAGATTGTTAAAATTTAATATAAAATTTAGAATTTATATGTGCATTTTGATTAATTAATTGATGGCAAAGCGCACATCTCACATTACGATTCATAAGCAGTTATATGTGGGTATAATTGTTATTTTCATAGATATAATACCTAAGTTAGATTTTATCGGGTCATCCTATAAAATTGTCCGAACATTTTTTTAGCATAAGCATCAAAGTAAATTATATAATTTTAAAATTTAATGATTTTACAGTATTATATTAAATAAATTCAAATATTTTTGATACAAAGTGATCTGTTTATTATAACTCACTCAATTACCTAAAAATAAAAACAATTTCGTGAATATTTCATTAAATTCCTCGATTTGTCAATTTTTAATTACTCTTTTGATTAAACCCTTATGCCTAAAGTGTCAACTCTATTTTTTTAATGAAAACATATTTATTTAAATGCCTGTTACAATAGAAAATGATCTAATTAAGATGATCGCTGATCGAAGAAAACTTTTGGACAAGTATTTCGTAAGTTATTATTATTTTAAAATATAGATTAAGATTGAGACTCAAGTTTTAACTATTTTTTTGTAATTAATATTTTTATACCTATGCAGGAATTGAAGCGACGCTGAGATATTTATTTATACTAAAGTAATTCACAGTTATTTCTAATTGACTTTAATGATAATTAATAAATGGAAGTAGTAAAATAGATGCTTTTAAATTAAAATCACCAAACTTTCTGAAAGTTCTTTAAATTTTACCGTATTACAGATTTAGTATAACATTATTATTTTTAATTTATAAAACAATGTATACAAATCAATAATGGCGCATTGACTGAATAAGTGATTGGGGGTATAATCATAATGTAATAAAATTAAATTTGGCTGGTTATTGATATATCACTCAAAAATATTACTAAATCTGAATACTACTCAACTATTCAAGTAAAAATGAGTGATATAGAAAATAATATAGTCAGTTTATTTTAATTAATTAATTAAATATAAATTTTTTAAATCTATCTGGAATTAATTATTCATATCAAAAATTAACTATGATAATATCTTTAACTACACTGAAATAAATGATCCAAATATTTCAATATGTCAGTACAAAATTTTTAATATACACGTTCATTTTACATACGAGTATTGTAATTTTGACATAAAATATAAAAAAATTCGTACACTTATATTTATATATATACAGGGTGGCCCACCACTCACTGACAACTTAAATAACTTTTGATCCAGTTAATATTTTTAGTTGATTTTTTTTTTAAATATTAGTTAGACGTTAGGTCTATAGCTATATCTCAATAATTAATTTTTTTACATTTTATTAAAAATATTAATTATTTTTAAATTTTAAATAAAATGTAAAAAAAAAATCTAAGATAGCTATTTTGTAGAGTAGAATTTAAGAAAAATTTTAGTAAAAAAATATCTTATTAATATTCAGTAGTAAATATTCTGTAGCGTTTTGAAGTTTGTGAAAATTTGAATTTTCATGTACTATTTTACGGTATTAAACATTGAAATACGTATTGAGAAAAGGACAGAAGAAAACGCTATCTTTTCAATATACTTTTGAATGAGAGTGATAAGTAATAATTGCCTTATCTAATTTCTTATCATGGTATTTATGCCAAGTTTGTAATGTATACACACTATCATCATATGTATACACAGTAATCATGAAAAGATAGCGTTTTCTTCTGTCCTTTTCTCAATACGTATTTCAATGTTTAATACCGTAAAATAGTACATGAAAATTCAAATTTTCACAAACTTCAAAACGCTACAGAATATTTACTACTGAATATTAATAAGATATTTTTTTACTAAAATTTTTCTTAAATTCTACTCTACAAAATAGCTATCTTAGATTTTTTTTTTACATTTTATTTAAAATTTAAAAATAATTAATATTTTTAATAAAATGTAAAAAAATTAATTATTGAGATATAGCTATAGACCTAACGTCTAACTAATATTTAAAAAAAAAATCAACTAAAAATATTAACTGGATCAAAAGTTATTTAAGTTGTCAGTGAGTGGTGGGCCACCCTGTATATTGATTATAACATTTTGATCACTATTTATCCAAATTATTCTCTACGCTGTAATTGTAAAAACTTCCAATACATATATATGATAATTCAGACATTTTTACTTTAAAAGTGTATAAAATTTGTAGCAATTTATGTTTTTTATTTGTATCTTTCGATTATTCTCGATTATTTAAGTTTATTTATTAAGTTTATTGCTTGCAGATAGTGAAGCTTGACAAAAGTATCTTAAAATCATTTATATATATTTTTTAAAGTATATAAATATTATAGCTAAATAAACTATTTTTATCAGGCCTCTTTATAAAAGTAATTTCAATGGAGATCTTCATTGTATATTGTATAATCTGTACAGGTATGCTACATAAATAAATATTCAAATTTACCACACAGGGTTTCCTACATTAAGATATCAAATTACCAGCTAATGCAACAAAATTTAATTAATGTATAAATTTTGAAGTAACTCTTACGCGCAGGTCTTCTATCATAATTAGCCAATTGAATTTAAATCTTCGGCTTCCTAGATAATATTAGAGATCACTAAACTACCCTACTATAACAATAAAAGGCCATTGTTTTTCCTAATAAAACCAGTCATTTGGGTTTTTTAAAAATATTCAAAATCTGTTATTCTCTCCTTATGATTGTCTTTTATAGTCAATTTTTGAATTTAAATAACAGTTAATCTTATTCTTCATTCTTTTGTTTGATTTTAGAATATTTTTTTATTAATTAAAATATTTTGCAATTCAAATAATACTTAGAAATTTTTATTTGGCAAATTTTAATATAAATTTATTTGTTCATTAATAATATTTTTATTTTTTTATCGTAGAAATAAAAGTAAATTACAATTTTTAAAAATGTTTACAAATGACTTGTCTTTACGAAAAATTAGAGTAACGTACCATCACAAAATGAACTTCCTTACTTAAGGTACATGCCTAATATGTACCAAGGTGTTCTAGCACAGATCGTCTCTACACATATAAAAGACCATTCAACATAATGAGGTATTCTAAAAATCTTTGTACTGCTTATTTGAATGTAAATATACCTGCTAAGGTATGAATTTGTTATGATCCCCATTTAAAAGAAATAAATGTCTACTTAAGCTATATGAATCTAATTGTAGAGAGAAATCGAAAAATATGATCTTCATGATATTAAAAATTAAGCATAAGCTAAGGATAAGTATAAAGTCCAATTAATGAATATTCAAACGTTAACACAAGGACATGCTAAGTGTTTATTGTAATAACGATTAGATAAATATTTATAAAAAACTTTTTAACATTCAAATAATTTTGAGTTTGAAATTTTTTTATAATAAGTTATGCATCATTTAGACTACTTTAAGACATTAGTCTAAATTTATGTTTATTATTATATATTGTTTACTAGTATAAAAAAAAACTATGTTACAAGATCCTGATGATGCCTCATAATATCAATTGTGCTAAAAAATGTAAATAAAATTATAAGTACTCGATCAATATCCATCTTTCAATAGAAAAAAGTATTATCTTTAACTCTGTTAGTTTATAATTAATTTAATACATTTTTAATGTATGTAATGAAAAAAAAAATTCATTAATTTATTTATGTTTGGTGTTAGAATATTAAATTTAATAAATTCATTATTTCTTTATTATTTATTAATTAAACAGAAATTGTGTAATTGAAAAAATACAAAGTTGATAAGATATTGTAGTATATAGGCTTTACAAAATAAATTATGTAAAGGTCAATTAACAACTATCTTGATGATTTTAACTTTAATTAAGCATTAAAACAATGAATATAATAAAAAAATAATAATCTTAAAAATTGACTTGTTTTTAACAATTACTCAGCATGAAATTTATGGTATAAAATTTCGTTTGTAGTTTACAACCACTTTAGACGGAATAAGTTTGCTATAAAATACTTAGTTCTAGAGTAATATCTTTAATTGTTTTTCATCGACATTATTACAAGCTGGTACATACAAATTATTTTATAATAAGTAAGAGTAACTGTCATCAATTAATTATAACATACCTACGTGATAGTTAAAATTAAATGAACTAATAATTAGTCAATTTCTTTCAATTCAATTGTGTAATGTAATCAGAATTTTACGTTTCGACTCTTTAAGTTAGACTAAATGTTCAAAAATGTATAATTATTTTTTATAATTTTTTTTTTAGATTTTTACAATGTTGTTAATCAAATGTTTTTTCCTCGTTTTACAATGTACGATTTTATTTCACATATGGGGAATGACTGAAGCTGCCGAAGATGTTCCTATTGAAATCATATATATGCCAAATCCAACTTTATTGGAAACTATATATGATACTATTTACAGTACATTCATACTTAAACCTATGGATGTCATTTTTATTGCTTATAAAGCTGAAAATCCTACTGCATCATTGGATGCAAAAACTGTAAAATATGACCACATGAAAAAGGTTGCATTTTACACTCATGGATTTCAAACACCACTATTAGATGATTCAGTATCCATGAAAGATGCTATATTCGAAGGAACTAATGATTATGATTGCGTTATTTTAGTTGACTGGAGAAATGGAACTTTTGCGAGTAAATAGTTTAAGATATTTATATTATATTTCAGATTTTTTTTTTAATTATTAAGTTTATTATTATTAAAACACGGCTAAAATTTTAAATCATGATACAAATAAGTTGTTGAATTTATAATCATAGATGATTCATATTTGTCTTTGGTAAATAATTACAAAACGGCGGCAATCGAAAATGTTCCAACTGTCGGTGAATATTTAGCAGAATTCATCGACAACCATATTACTAATAAATTTACTTACGTGCATTTGTTGGGACATAGTCTTGGTGCACAAATATCTGGAATTGCAGCTAGAACTGTGACTAAAAATAATCCTAGCAGAGTATTAAACAGAATATCAGGTAAGCAGATTTCATATTTATGTATAACTTAATTAATTTACTATAATAACTTTTCAATAAGATATTTAATTCTCATAAAATTATATACTTAAAATTATTTTCCAACATTGATTTGTTGTCAAATCTACTTTAAGTTCATTGTTTATTAGACGATAGATAAAATTAAAAAAACCCAGCACAGGGAAGTCGCGGAACAATGGTGATGGGGCATAGTTAGATCAAGTATAATGATATCTGACAGTTATTAAAATCACTATCAAAAAAAAATGCTTCGATGCAAATCTTTAGATAGTGTTAAATTTTAAAAAATTGGTGGACTATTCCAAAAGCTACATTATCTGCTAGTTCATTATTAATATCCTGATTAAGATAAAGTATGTCGAATGAAAGAGGGATTATTAAAATACCCAGCACAGGGGGGTCGCGGCACAGTGGTGACGTGGCATAGATGGATCAAGTATAATGATATCTGACAGTGATTAAAATCACTATCAAAAAAAAACGCTTCGATGCAAATCTTTAGATACTGTTTAATTTTAAAAAATTGGTGGACTATTCCAAAAGCTACATTATCTGCTAGTTCATTATTAATATCCTAATTAAGATGAAGTATGTAGAATGAAAAAGGGATTATTAAAAAATATTATTTCTCATAAAAAAATAATGTTGATCCATACACTTTTCNCATAAAAAAATTGTGTTGATTCATACATTTTTCAATAAGTTATAGCATTATAAAGTTAAAAATGTAAAAAATAAAATCCAGATTTTTCACACAAAAATAGCATTTGGTAGCCATTTTCACCGTGAAGATAAAATAAAGTCCGAAATTTTTTTTTCGCATAATAAAGTAAATTACATTAGCTTTAATTTAATATATATATAAAAGTGTCAGACTTTCCGGAACACTTTCAAAA